AAGGATACAATTAAAAAAAATGAACACATATGAAAAGGACAAATCACATTGCAGAACAGGAGGGGGATGCGGGGGGGGGGGGGGGGGAGGACGGGAGGGGAGCAAGGAAGTAATGATGACTTCAGAACAGGCACAGAAGTCAAGTTGTTTTTTTAAATTGAGTAGCCTCATATCTGTCTGACGAATCCTCGATTGTGAGATCTTTGGGCCAGCAACTCTCTTTGTACAACAGCTGCTCCAGATTTTGGGGCCCCAGCTGCTCCAGGTTGAACCTCTCTAATCCGGCACTGTCTGCTCCAACAACCTCTGTGGTCCGGCACGATTTTAATTAGCCAGATGTCCACTTCTCATGTGTGTGGCCAAGTTTCCCACAGTTCCATAAAGTGTCTTATGCTGCTATCTATTTATCACCAGCCCTCTGAGCTGCACAGAACATAATGCACAGGGCTCCAGTGGTGATTTCAAGAGCTTGAGGCTTGTTCCCGCCTTGCTCCCCACCACCGACAAGCCTGCCTACCTTTCTGCATCCCCTTTCCGTTCATGGCATGAGCCTGCGGCGTTGCCAATTGTTTATGTTCAACTACGCTGGCTCACCCTTCTTGCTAGCTGCTTCGGCACACACCTGGGCATGTCTGCAGGCTGGAAGGCCACTGGAAATGAGGAGCAGCCAGCATCATAGGACCTGGCAGCTCCCTGCAGACCACCAGCTTGGGCTTAGGGGAACACCCGTGGCCTGTGGTTTTAGGGTATTTGTATCACAGGGTCAATTTCTTTTTTTGTATCCATTTATTTGCCAACTTCGGTGCCTATTTGCCAGGAGTCCCAGTTAAAACCAACTGCTGCAGAAGCTAAGAGCAGTGGACTAAATAAATTGCAAGGTGAAAGCCTTCCTCTGGAAAGACATGTCCTCTAGCCCTCAGCCCGCAAGTGGGGGGAAGGGAGAGCCCATCAGCTGATCTAGACTCCCGCCATGGTTTGCGGAGAACTGGTTTTCCTATGAACTCCCTCCCACTCTCAAGAGCTTTCTAGACCGGTGTCCATACTCAGCCACGCCCACAAGCTAACGGGGAGCGAAGGCAGTCTTTTCAGTGCTGGCTTCACATGCGCCTGGTTGCTGATACAGCCAAACAAGTCTGTGCCGGCTGTTCTCCAAGGGCGTTTGAGTGCAAAGGGCATTAGAGCAGAGCTAGTCTAGCCACCTTCTTCACATTAGGCCCTGAGCATCTCAGTCCAATCAGAGGGTTGCAAAGACCAGGGCAACCATGGCACGGTCCATCCCAGAGAGTGAATCTCTCAACAATATGGGTGACAAAAGGCTGGCAAGGCCACCAAGGCCAGCAGGGACAATAGGCACAGCAATGGGTCCCAGAGCGCCACTTTCCCGAGCATCTCGCTGAAAGCGGGACCAACGAACAGAGGCCACCCCCGTCATGCAGTCGGGCCTCCCCACTCCTGTCCATGCATCTCTGGAGCATGCAGGGTGCATGGGCGACAGTGAACCCCCCACGTTACATGGATTCAGGCACGTTCTCACCACAGGCCCCTATCTCAGCCAGGGGGCTGGACCCATTAACTCACTAACGCTATCTAGGCTCCCGTTGCCTCCCCTAGCACCCTGGGGAAGGGTAGGACCTGCTGGAAGGAGCTTTCCCCAAGGCTCCCCTAGGGTTTGGAATGACTCAGATACAGCAACTCACCAGGACCCTCCCCTCCTGTTAACGAAACCTTCTGCTCAAGTAGAGCAGAGGACGGACAAAACAGACCCCTACCCTCCGTCCCACGCTAGCAACCACCAAGCCAGATAGGGCCCTTACTATACATAGGCTGCAACAGTGACCGACAAGAGCCTAGAAAATCTGGAGACATGACCCCAGAGTTACCTTCCACTTCCCCTAACGGGGAGCCCTGATGAGGAAGTGGACCACGGCTAAGAGCTGTTTCCTTGGGCGAAGATTAAATGGGGAGAAGACAGCAGGCACCACCAGCAATGGGCTCGTCACCTCCCCGCTCCGTGTTCCCAGCCTTGAAAAGTTCCTTCCCAGACAGCAGGGCCTGGACTTCCCTCAGGACCTCCCGGAAACCCACAGACCACAGCGGCCACAGCTCAGCGGCTGCACAGTGTGCGATGGTGATGGGCTGTCTGGCCAGTGACTGGCTGGATACTGATCTGTCATCCCGCCAGTCCCGCCTCGACATGACCGATCTGGTCCACCAGAGAAACAGAGAATTCTGGGAAATGAGTCTCTCCCAGCCTGCAATCAACACTTGTGCAACATCCATGCTTCCCAAGAGTTCGCTCCTAGCCAGGGAAGAAGAAATCCTTCCACATCGGCCAAAACAGAGGACTCCAAACTGCTTCTGCAGCACCAAACTGGCTGAAAGTACGGATGCCTGTGGGTGCGCTAGATGGGCTCCTGTGTGTTACGTCAGTCTTGGGCCGCCTATATCCAAGGTCCTGTCAGTATGATGGACAGGCAGAAGGTGTATAGCTAACAATGAATCACTGGTGGCAGAGAGGCAATGGCCGAACGTCCCACTGGGCTTTCTACAGCATGAGTCACTAGTCACAGGGTATTTTCTTTTGTGGGTGCCTAGAGCCAGACTTAGTCCACCGCTCTGTGAGGACAGGTCAAAGAAAGAGACCAGGACAATGTGCCTGGAGCATGAAGGGCCAGCCTCGACAAGGGGGCAAAGTCCATCACTCCTCTCCCTACACCCCTTAGCCCTTTGCTACACGTAGTTTCACCCAGTTCTGATCTAAAGGTAAAATCTACCATGAGGCTGCCTGTCCAGGTTGAATTCACTGGCCTAATGTGCATACTGATTCTGGGCACTTAGTTTGTAGTTTACCACGGAGGAAGCCTTAGGCCATGAAAACGAATTAAGTCCACACAAAGGGGCCAGTCCGATCAAATAAATCCATAGGGCAGCATTGGATTATTTAGCAACTCATTTGTCTGGGGTGGAGCTACTCTCGTTGTCCACACATGCTCCATCAACCCTGAGGGCAGGGGACTGGACTCAATGATCTCTCGAGGTCCCTTCTAGCCCTAGGACTCTATGCTAGCTCTTGTCACCTTAGAATGCCTATTGGGATTGGACATATATTGCAGTAACATCCCACAAGTTCTCATTGCTCCACAAATGCCCATGAAGGCCTGGGCCTAGTGCCAGAGGGGAAGAGTTTGCAATCTAGAGCCAAGACCTTCCATGACTGTGCCCACTCATTAGAATTTGGAAGATGGAGGCTTAAGAAGGCTCGGGGTACGTACCTCTTGTGTCAACTACTCCCGGACATAGCTGCTCTTCCATAACAGCGTCGAGAGTGATCAACACTTGCTCATTCAGTTCTGACAGTTCCGGGGCCGTGGCCACTCGGAAAGCCGTGGCGCTGTCGGAGGACAGCTTGCTCAAATCGTCCAGATCGACGTTTTTCACCCCCACGGCAAACACCTTGACACCTGAGCCTGTCAGGGCCAACGCTGCCGCCTTTCCTTCCTCCGAAGGCCGGCCCCCCGTCACGATAAACGCGATCTGAGGGACTTTCTCCTCCACCCTGCTGCCAGCCTCTTTCACAAAGTGCCTTGTCTGGATGTGCTTGAGGCCTTCGTCCGTGTTAGCCACCCTGCCTCCTTTATAAGCCACTCTGTTGATAGCATTTAAGATCTGGTCTTTGGTGGTATAGTCCTTGAGGAAAAATTCATCCGTCACATCAGAGTTGTACTGGGCCAATCCTACCTGAATGGATTTCTCCTCTGAGTAGAGCGCGTCGATTATGGAATACACAAACTGGATAACCTGTTGGAAGTTCTCTCTCCCTAAATTGATGGAACTGTCCAGCAAAAACACGATGTCGGCTTCCCTTTTACCAGCTGAAAGCATAACAAAGAGGGTGGGTATTAAAACTTTTGTAACGCCTGGAATATCGTCTCAAACAACAGAGGAAAACAGACCATTTTTAAATTGTAGGCACACTATGCGTGCAGACACAGTTCTGCTCTCCATTTGGAAAAATGCCTACCTTTGGGAAATAAGATGAGCAGTAAACAAATGACTGATTCAGGATGAGTGAATGAGTCCAGATAGCCCAAGCTACTCAAAAGGGAGTGGATGCCTCCTTTTTTGGGTGTCCCATCTTAAAGGAATCTAACTTTCAGTGAGCTCAGGGCCACTGAATTTTCTGAATGGCAGGCCCCCAAAATGCCAGCATCCAAATTCACGAGTCACTTGTAAAATCTTGACCAGAATATTCAACCAGACACAAACCCCAACTCTCACACAGCTCACCCTTTGTGGGGGCTTCTTAGAACCAAACAGGAAGGCTACATCTACACTGCCATGATCTCGCGCAAAAACTCTTTAGCGCAAGAGTTCTTGCGTTAAAGTAGTTGTGCAAGAGAGTGTCTACACTGGCATGTGCTTTTGCACAAGTGATGTGCTTTTGCACAAGAGCATCCTTGCCAGTGTAGACGCTCTCTTGCGCAAGAAAGCTCCTATGGCCATTTTAACCATCTTGCGCAAGAAATTCATGTTGCCTGTCTACACTGGCCTCTTGCTCAAGAACAGTTGCACAAAAGGGCTTATTCCTGAGCGGGAGCACCAGAGTTCTGGAGCAAGAAGCCCCGATTTCATACATTAGAACATCAGTTTACTTGCGCAAGAACACGTGACCAGTGTAGACAGGCAGCAAGTTTTTGCACAAGATCGCGCCAGTGTAGACGCAGCCTAAAAGGTCTGTCCATCAAGGTTCCAGATTAAGGTACCATTTGGTGTCATTCTCCTTGCTGCTCAGCATCTTTGCAGCTAGCCTTATAAATGCATAGCAGCATCCTTCAGTCTGTGCCGGGGAAAGGGTCTGAAGGACCAAAGAACTAGGAAAGCTCTCGGAAACATGACATTTGAAGAAAGCAGCCAGCAAAGCAGGCTCTGCACAATCTATTGAGACCACAATTTTGGATCTGGCAAATATCAATCAGAGATGACCTCTTGGGAGAAGAGAGACCCTAGCCACAGGAAGGAGAAGAGAATCCATGTGCTCTGGTCTGAGACAACTATTTAGAGTGACAGATTATAGGCTGAGAATAGAAAAGCACAAGGTAGGGTCACTGAAAGAGACCCTTGATGGTTAGGTGGAAAAAAGGAGTGACTGTATTTTAAAAGGGTTGGAGGAGCATCCAAAGAGTATGGGCTTGGAACCAAACATTAAGAGGTCGGTCCAGATTAGGGTACCGTTGGGTGCAATTCGTTACTGGGGGCCAGTGAAAAAAATCCAAGAAGGAAAATGCAGACCGAGCAAACGCTACAATGATTCGCACACAACATGCAAGCACCGCAGGGTGAAGCCAGAGCAGGGAACAGGGCTAGACTGGAGGTGGGGGAAGGCAGGGAAACAGAATCCCAAAGGCCAAGTCTAAGTGCCAAACATCCATTATTTTAGCAAAATGCCTGCTTCTGTTTTAAGGCTAGGAGAGCTCCTAGACACTGTTCTGATCCAATAGTCTTGGAAGTCTATGGAACAGGCCCTAGCTGGCGTAATGTCATCCTTCACTCTCGCGTCCATATCCCCTTTATGTTTCTTCAGCAACACCAGCAGTTTAGATACCCCGAGAAGCCGGGGGCTGAAAAACATAGCATGTATGATAGACCCATGGAGACTGAGACCAGAGGCACCACCCCGTCATTTAGTCTAGTGTGACCTCCTGCGTAGCGCAGGCCAACAACAACACCCGTACGCGAAACTCAAAAAATAAGAGGAAGGTGAAAGTCCCCCCAGGTCACTGCCAATCTGACTTGGGGCAAGATGCCTTCACAGCCCCCGCCTGGCATTCGGTTAGACCCTGAACGAAAGCCATCCAGCCAGGCCCCATCTCAGCACACGGGCCCACCCCACCGAAAAGCTCTGCCCTGTTACATGTTGTTCGTTTGAATGGGCACGTCTAAACTACATGTCTCTTTCGAAAGAGGAATGCAAATGAAGCACATCGAAAGTGCAAACGAAGCACAGATTTGAATTTCCTACGCTTCATTTGCATATTTGCATCCAAACGCTTTTTCGAAAGTGAAAGCACAGTCTAGATAGGCTTCTTTCAGGGGGGGGGGAACCCATACTCCTGAAAAAATGGGGAGTATGGGTTCTTTCGAAAAAGGAGTTTTTTTCAAAAGAAGCTTGTCTAGATTGCACTTTCACTTTCAAAAAGCCTTTTTTTGAAACAGTGCTCAGAGGCGAATATGCAAACAAAGCGCAGGAAATTCAAATCTGCACTTCATTTGCACTTTCAATGTGCTTCATTTACATTCCTCTTTTGAAAGAGGAATGTACTCTAGACATAGCCTACGGGAAACATTTCCACCTTGGTCACCATCTTCCAAGTTCTGGTAGGCCTTTTTGGTGAGTCTTCCGTAGTGCCATGCAAGCAAAGGAATAAGGACTAAACTGCATTCATTCTAAATGACTTTACGAAGGATGAGAATTTTATCCCAGGCTCTATTCTGAAAGTCTTCCCTCCCCCAGTGTCTGCCAACATGAATAAAAGACTGACTAGGAACTGGGACCGGAGGAGGTGGAGATGTAGGCTCTTCAGAATCTACAAGGGACCCGAAAACCTTCTTTTCAATGGTTGGGAGTGCCGTAAAGTCTCTGATGATGTATGTGACTGTAGGATCTTTGGTAATGATCTGCATCTGTGTTCTATCTGCATTCTTTGCTCCTACGCCTGTGGTTTTAACCCCAGTAGATTCAATCAAGGCAGAAGATCTCGTCACATCGTCCTGGGACCTCCCTCCAAGGAGGAGGACTAAATGCTGGGGGACCTTTTCTTCTATCCTGCTCCCTGCAGACTTAATAAAGTAATTCTTGACAACATAGTCCAGCGCTTTCCCCACATTCAGCGGGGTCCCTCCTTTGAGCCGCAGGCGGCGTACAGCTTGCACCACCGCCTCTTTGGTCTTGTGCATTTTTAGAAGGAACTCCGGGAACACGGTGTTGCTGAACTGGGCCACGCCGACTCTGGCTTTGTTGGGCCTCACGTCCAGCTGCTGAACGAGTCTGATGATGAAATCCCGGATGTGAGCCAGGCCGTCGGTCCTGACGCTGTCAGAGCTGTCGATGAGGAAGACGATGTCCAGCTCGTCGCCCTCCAACTCTGCAGGACAACACAAGCATCCGGGGAGAGGAAAGTGACTGACATGAAAAACCTTCCTGGGCGGGGCAAATGGGCTCTGTGGTCAAGTGAAAACCCAGCTGGCAGGCATCCGATTTGGACCTGGTTTCTTTTGGAGGGTGGTGCTTTGTGCCGCTTGGTTACATCCAAACTGATACGCACATACCACCCCAAATCCTAACCTCCTGCACTCTGAAGTTTTATTTTTAGGCATTTACTTTCTTAAAGGCGCCTAACCTCCCTTGGCCCCAGGTTTATGTTAATTTCAACTATAGAAGTCTCCAAAGAGCTTCCAGCAGCTTTTGTCCAGAAAGTCTGAGCCCTCAATAACTCCTTAAAATCTCAGCTGACTCTCCATTCTCCTGACCATGCAAATGAGTCGTCTTTGTTTTTAAGAGGGGAAATCATTTGCTGGCAGGGAAGGAGTGAAAAGGTGTTTGCATGTTTAGCAATATCTACAGTACCAGCAATACAGAGGCACTAGGCCAAAGGCTAGGGAACCTTGTTTGGGTCGGGGGTCACTGACCCCCCAGAAAAATCAGTCAGGGGGGCTGCACAATGTGAGACGCCCCTGACTGAGAAGGAGAACGACACTCCCCAAATTCCCCTCGCACACCAGAGCATAAGGGGACCCAGTCAAATAGGTTTTGTTCACTCCAGCCCATGCGGGTGGATGGCGGGGCGGTAGGGGCTGTAGCACCAGCGCAGGCTTCTCAATGCTGAGCTTTGGGGGCTGGATTCAGGCAAGCGGGGCAGCTTCATCCGGGCCCCAGGCTTGAGGTCCCCCCCCCCCCCACACACACACACACACTGCACTAGGCAATCTTACCTGGAGTGACTACGTCTCCCAGGAGCCTTTGTATCTGTTCTGAAGTCAGCGTTCTAATAGGCGTCAGCAGCTTTGTGTCGAGGCCAGGCAGTTCCTGGAAGGTTCTCACTTGAAACAGGTACTCAGGACTCAGAGAAATCTTTCCCAGCTCTGCAGGATCCACATTCTTTGCGATAGTCAGAGGTGCTATCCCAGCTTTTTTAATTTGGAGGGCAGGGTCATCTATGTCATCTGCAGACTGGCGGGAATAGAGCAAAATTAAAAACTGAGGGACCCCTTCCTCTATGCGGCTGCCAGAGGGTCGCGTGAAGATGTTCTTCGACACATACTCCAGGGCGGCGCCGACGTTAACCCGCGAGCCAAATTTGGGCCGTAACCTCCTCACGGCGCTCAGCACTTCTTCTTTGCTGGAGTGAGTGTTGAGGAGAAACTCAATCTTGACATCGTCGCTGAACTGGATCACAGCAACCCGGGTGGCATCGATACCCACGTCCAGGGAGTTCACTAGCCGCTCGATCATACTGCGGATGGAACTGAACTCTGCGGTAGCGTACTGGGAGCCATCAATGAGAAACACAACGTCCTTCTTTTCTTTCTCTGTCAAAAGAGAGAGAGTTCAGATGACACGGATAGGCCCAAGACTTAAATTACTAAATGATCTAAAGTGCAAAAGGTTTAACCTCTCCCCCTCCCTCCACCATGTGCAATGATCCTTTTGGGGCCCATCACCAAGCAGCACAGAGCTAAACCAGCTGGCCATTGGGACCCATGTGTGAGATTAGTGTGGAAATCTATGCGGCCATCCTCATACACGACCATGTGTGGATCTATAATGGTTGCTCTCCTAAGAATGAGTCCTCTCTCTGAAGGCCAGGAGGGGGACGAGAAGGCAGGGAGTAGGAGAAACCCTAAATCCCTATTCTCTGTTGCACAGGGCAGATTGCAAAGTGACCATCTAGACACCGAGAAAGGGGGTTATTTATTGTAGGATGATGGTCCAGATCCTGCTCTGACTTCATGGACTATGGAGATGTGGCAGTCTGCCTGCATGGACCACGTGGTAGGACTGATGCAGGTAGACGTATTTGAATGACTGACTGTAATTACAGACCCTTGCAAGCCCAGTGACAACTGGGCAAATAGAGGCTACACTGGCAGGAAGAGGAGGTTGGTTTTGGAGCCTTCATTGTGAATGCCTTGCTTTGCTGTCTCTGCCTCGGTTTAGGTCTCTAACTTGCTCCTACGAACATTGCTTTGGGGAGATGCCTGCCAAAAACCATCCTCTCACCTGGTCTGAGTGTAGGCGGCTCCACGTACGGGGGCTGCCTATCGATTTCTTCCCGGGTGAGCCGAATGATTCGATCTGAGATGCTCTGCTGTACGGTGTCCAGTTGATTGAAGTCAGGGATGGCAACAACAAACTCTGGTGTGAAAGAGATGGTCTGCAGCTCCGTGACGTCGGCATTTCCAACTCCGATGCCGAAGGGCACCATGCCACCCGTCTTCAGGGCTGTCGCGGGCCTCCGCACGTCGTCCCTTGATTTGCCAGTTGTCAACAGAATCAACAGCTGAGGGACATCTTCAGCTATCCTGCTGCCGAAGGAGCCAACAAACACATTGTTTGTGACATAGTCCAGGGCCGTGCCCATATTTAGTGGAGACCCTCCCATAATGGTCAGGTCCTGGATAGCTCTGATCACATCTGCTTTGTCAGAGTAGGTGTTAAGAAGGAACGCTGGTTGTACGACGCTACTGAATTGTAACACGGCAACACGGACCCTGTCGGGGCTGACATCCAGGCTCTCCACCACGCTTTGCACAAAGGCCTTCAGTGCAGGGAAACCACTTCTGGCACCATCTGAGCCATCAATCAGAAACACCACGTCCTTCTTCTCACCTTCATCAGCTGTTGTGGGAGGCACTGAGGGGAAGGGAAGATAAGTCAGATTCTCTGTGTAAAATAGACATCCTCTGTATAAAACAATTCTCAGCAAGATGAAAGGCTTGGGGTCTTAGGTTTCACACATGCTTATCCAGTTTCTTTATATTGTTGTTTACCTTGAGCCAAGCAATCAAATGCTCTTGACTAATGGAAAGATGGATGGAAATCCAATAAAAGCCACAAGACCTCATGTGCTAGGTGATGCCTACCTAGCTGGGAGGGGCTCTATACTCTTTACTGGAAGCATCAGCCTTTAGCAAAGGGAAACAAATGGAATACGTAATCAGGGACCATTTTCTTCCAAAGCGATCAAGGTTTCTAGGGACTGGAACACATTGGCACCAGATGTCTACTCCACTTAGCCCTGGTCTACACTGGTGTGGAAGGTTGACTTCAGATTCGCAACCCTGGCTATATTAATTATGTCCATGCAGTGGGAGGTCGATGTGATTAAACACTCCCAGCAGCTTCCCTTACTCCTCACAAGAAGTAGGAGAATTGGCAGCAATGGAGAAGCCCTCCCTGAGGAATGTTCCAATCTAAAAATAAGTAATGCTGTGTGGGCGCTGGATCAAGTTACAAAGGATGAATACACACAAATCGGGGGCCAAAAGTACATGGGGGCAAAATTAAGCCCAGGCATGAAACAAGTTCAAATTATCTTGCGACATGAGGGATACCAAAAAAAATCTACAAATACATTAGAAGGAAGAGGAAGACCAAAGATAGGGTAGGACCATTACCCAATGAAGAGGGGGAAATAATAACAGAAAATGTGGACATGGCAGAAGCACTTAATGACTTTTTTTGTGTCGGGTGGTGGGAATTGAATGCTGGTGAAAATTGGATAAGTTCAGAAGTTACATAGGAAAAGAACACGTTAAAGATTACTTAGCCAAGTTAGATGTCTTCAGCTCCCCATGCATCCTAGAATTCTCAAGGGGCCGATTGAGGAAATATCTGAACCATTAGCAATTATCTTTGAAAAGTCATGGGAGACAGGAGAGACTTCAGAAGACTGCAAAAGGACAAACATAGTGCCCATCTATAAAGAGGGAAAGAAAAGCAATCTAGGGAATGACAGACCAGTCAGCTTAACTTCTACATCAGGAAAGATAATGGAGCAAAAAATGAAGGAATCCAGTTGCAAATATCTAGAAGATAATAAGGTGACAGGTAACAGTCAAGATGGATTTCTAAAGAACAAGGCTTGTCGAACCAAGCCGATAGCTTTCTTTGATAGACTAATAAGCCTTATGGATAAGGGAAAAGCAGTGATTGTGATATACTTAGACATTAGTAAAGCATCTGATACAGACTTGCATGACCTCCTCATTAATAAACTAGGGCAATGCAACTTAGATGGGGAAATTATAAGGTGGGCACATAACTGGTTGGATGACTGTTCCCAGAGAGTAGCTGTCAATGGTTCACAGTCATGCTGGAAGGGCATAACAAGTAGGATTCTCCAGGGATCAGTTCTGGGACCAGTTCTGTTCAATATCTTCCTCAACAATTTAGAATATGGCATAGAGAGTACGATTATTAAGTTTGCAGACGATACCAAGCTGGGAAGGGTTGAACGTGCTTTGGAGGATAGGGACAAAATTCAAAATGATCTGGACAAACTAGAGAAATGATCGGAGGTAAATAGGAAGAAGTTCAATAAGTAAGGATGAATGTAAAGTATTCCACTTAGGGCGAAACAATCGATTTCAAGCACACAAAAGTGAGGAGGGCTTTAAACTAGGTTCGACGGGGGCAGATGACCAAAGCCCACAGGTAAGTGAAAAACATTGAGACGTAGGAGATGGGTCAGAAATGGGAGGGAGCATGGGCTATAATAGCAGAGAGAAAGGAGGGAGAAGGCAAAACTAGGGTGTCAAAATCAAATCAGTATCTTAGGTGCCTACATATAAATGCAAGGAGTATGGGGAATAAGAAGGAAGAATCTGAAGTGCTAGTAAATAAACACAACTATGACACCATTGGTATCACAGAGACTTGGTGGGATAACAGACACGATTGGAATATTCGTATAGAAGGATACAGTTTGCTCCGGAAGGACAGGCAAGGAGAAAAGCGAGGAGGTGTTGCCGTATATATTAAAAATGTGTACAGTTGGACTGAGGGGGAGATGGACATATAATATAGACTTATTGAGAGTCTCTAGGTTAGGTTAAAGGAGATTAACAAATAAGGGTGGTGTCATGCTAAGGATTTAGTATAGACCGCCTAACCCAGGCAGAAGAGCTGGATGAAGCTTTTTTTTTTTTTTAAACAACTAACAAAATCATCCCAAGCGCAGGATTTGGTGGTGACGGGGGAATTCATCCATACTCTGTATTCAGTACAGTTGAGGGGGAAGAAAACCCCAATACATAAATCCACAAGTACTGAAGTTCTCATTCCAAACTTTTTACTGTCTAATCAGCTCTGTCATTCCCATTAGCTTCCTTCTCTAATCTACATTAAAATGCAGGACTATGTAGCACTTTAAAGACTAACAAGATGGTTTATTAGATGATGAGCTTTCGTGGGCCAGACCCACTTCCTCAGATCAAATAGTGGAAGAAAATAGTCACAATCATATATACCAAAGGATACAATTAAAAAAAATGAACGCACATAAAAAGGACAAATCACATTACAGAACAGAAGGGGGATGCGGGGGGAGGGGGGGCGGGAGGAAGGAAAGTAAGTGTCTGTGAGTTAATGATATTAGAGGTGGGGAGAGTTAGATGTCTGTGAGCTAATGGTATTAGAGGTGATAATTGGGGAAGCTTATTTCAGAAGGTTGAGGAAGCTACTGGGGGAAACTGTTCTTGATTTGATTGTAACAAATAGGGAGGAACTGGTTGAGAATTTGAAAGTAGAAGGCAGCTTGGGAGAAAGTGACCATGAAATCATAGAGTTCATGATTCTGAGGAATGATAGAAGGGAAACCAACAAAATAGAGACAATGGATTTCAGGCAGGCAGATTTTATTAACTTCAGAGAGCTGGTAGGTAAGGTCCCATGGGACACAAGACTAGGAAGGAAAAACAACTGAAGAGAGTTGGCAGTTTTTTAAAAGGACATTATTAAGGGCCCAAAAGCAAACTATTCCACTGCTTAGGACAGATTAAAAAAAAGTCTGGCAGGAGACCACCTTGGATCAAGCAGGAGATCTTACATGACCTACAAATCATAAAGGAGTTGTATAAAAAGTGGAAACTAGGTCAAATTACAAAGGATGGATATAAGCAAACAACACAGATATACAGGGGCAAGATTAGAAAGGCAAAGGCACAAAAAGAGCTAAATCTAGCTAGAGCAGCGGTTCCCAACCTTTTCCAGATGGGGACCCATTTTGACAATTCAGGAAGACTTGGTGACCCAAGTCAATTCAAAAACAGGGTGGGTGGGAGGAGGCAGAGCCACCTGGGGAGACACTTGGCGACCCTTCTGAAATGTAATGGCGACCCATATTTGGGTCCTGACCCATAGGTTGGGAAACCCTGAGCTACAGGCATAAAGGGTAACAAGAAGATGTTCTACAAGTATATTGGGATCAAGAGAAAGACCAAGGATAGAATAGGTTCATTGATCAGTGAGGAGGGAGAAACAATAACAGGAAACTTAGATATAGTAGAGGTGCTTAATGACTACTTTGTTTGGTTTTCATCAAGCTGGGTGATGATGGGATGCCTGACATAGTGAATGCTAGTGGAAATGGGGTAGGTTTAGAAGTTAAAATAAAAAAAGAACAAGTTAAAAATTACTTAGAAAAGTTAGATGTCTGCAAGTCACCAGAGCCTGATGAAATGCATCCTAGAATACTCAAGGAGCTGATAGAGGAAGTATCTCATCCTGTAGCTATCATCTTTGAAAAAATCATGGAAGAGAGATTCCAGAAGACTGGAAAAGGGCAAATCTAGTGCTCTTCTACAAAAGGGGAAATAAGAACAACCCAGGAAACTACAGACCAGTCAGTTTGGGGGGAGGGATAGCTCAGTGGTTTGAGCATTGGCCTGCTAAACCTGGGGTTGTGAGTTCACTCCTTGTGGAGGACATTAAGGAATTTGGGGCAAAAATTCATCAGGGGTGGTACTTGGTCCTGCTGTGTAGGCAGGGGATTGGGCTCAATGACATTCAAGGTCCCTTCCAGTTCTAGGAGATAGGCAATCTCCTTTAATTTAATTTTAAAAGATATCAGCATACAGAGTATGCTTTTTAAATTTGCCGATGATACAAAGCTGGGAGGGGTTGCAACTGCTTTACGGGATAGGGTCAAAATTCAAAATGATCTGGACAAACTGGAGAAATAGTCTGAGGTAAGCAGGATGAAGTTTAATAAGGACAAAAGCAAAGTGCTCCACTTAGGAAGGAACAATCAGTTTCACACATACAGAATGGGAAGTGATTGTCTAGGAAGGAGAACTACTGAAGGGGATTTGGGGGGTCATAGTGGACAACAAGTTAAACATGACTCAACAGTGTGACACTGTTGCAGAAAAAGCAAACATGATCCTGGGCTGCATTAACAGGGATGTTATGAATCAGACACGAGAAGTCAGTCTTCCACTCAACTCTGCGCTGATTAGGCCTCAATTGGAATATTGTGTCCAGTTCTGGGTTCCACATTTCAAGAAAGATGTGGAGAAATTGGAAAAAATCCAGAAAGAGCAACAAAAATGATTAAAGGTCTTGAAAACATGACCTATGAGAGAAGATAAAAAAAATTGGGGGTTTCTTTAGTCTGGAAAAGAGAAGACTGAGAGGGGACATAACAGCAGCTTTCAGCTTCCAGGTACCTAAGTACAGGGAGGACAAAGAAAATTATTCTCCTTGGCCTCTGATGATAGAACAAGAAGTAATGGATTTAAATTGCAGCAAGGGAGGTTTAGGTTGGACATTAGGAAAAAAATTCCTACCTGTCAGGTTGGTTAAACACAGAAATAAATTGACTAGGGACGTTGTGGAATCTCCATTGTTGGGGATATTTAAGAACAAGTTAGGTAAATATCTGTTGGGGATGATCTAGATGGTGTTTGATCCTGCCATGAGGGCAGGGGACTGGACTCGATAACCTCTCGAGGTCCCTTCCAGTTCTAGTGTTCTGTGATTATACAAACAAAAGGAATAGTGGCTTTCCATACCTACTGTCTGAATTTCTATGGTTGTCAATAGGTTCACTAGGTTTGGTTCTAAGTCTCCGATTTTAGGAATGGACTCGACATTTAGAATAAACTGTGGACCATAAACAATAGTTTCGAGTTCTCTGGGATCAGCAGTCTTGGCTGTAATAATGAAAGTGACAACTCCAAGTCTTTTAAGGGCTTCTGCTGCTTGCTCCACATCATCAGAAGATCTCCCAGCAGAAAACAGAATTAAGAACTGAGGAACGCCTTCTTCAATCCTACTTCCAGCTCCCGGCACAAACAGATTCCTCAGGGCATAATCCAGTGCAGCACCAATATTCAGTTGTTTCCCAGTTTTTAACTTCATTCGTTTCACTTTCTGCAGCATTTCCTGCTTGGATGGGAATTCATTAAAGGTGAATTCCACTTGCACATTGTCACTGTACTGAGCCACAGAGACTCGGACGGTATCCAGCTTCACGTTGAGAGTAGCAATGACTTTGTGCACGAAGTCCCGGACAAGAGGGAACTGCCCCAATAGGTTGGCTGAGCCATCAATCATGAATAAAACATCTTGCTTGCGCTCTAGAATAAACAGAGAAAAAGAAAACGAGACGTTAAAAATCTTTTTCTTTTTCGGGTTCACCGTGGAAACTTTTATTTTAAAGAGCTGGAGTATGATATTTAAAACAATTGAATGATTTTCATTAATGAAAAGTATCTAAATAAAAAGGGACAGAACCTATTTCACTTTGCCGACCTTTTAATTTCATTGACTTCCCGAAACAAAGTGGAACTCCAGTTATCTATTTGTCCAATTTTCCTTAATTTTCTCCTTTCCAAACTCAATCATCTTAATTTTTAATAGCTCCTTCTGTATGGAGCCACAATAAAAGAAAATTCTGTGGGAAAATATGTATCTATTTCAGATTAACTTTAAACCTGACACACGGTTTTTGGAAGAGAATGTTGGAGACTTTCATTAACTTTGAACTATCAAGAATAAATTCTGCCCTCCTTCACATCCGTACTAGCCCACTGATTTCAGGGGGGTTCCCTGGGAAGACTGGATCTACCCTTTATGTTTGGGCTTTTCTTTTGCTTTGGTTGATCTATGCTGCTCTGCACAATATTAATCTCTCCATTTCATATTTTTGCGGAGAGCAGTAACCACTCCCTGCATGTGAGCTGGTCCGTGCAAACATCTGTCACAGTCATTAATGTATCCCAAGTAATCAGGATGGGGAGAGATAGGCAGGATATTTGGTCTGGTGGTTGGAGACCCATTCTGATCTCTATTTCAGTGCTGATTCCGCAAGACACTTAAACAGTTGCAGAACTATAAGGCTATGTCTATACTGCAACGCTATTTTGGAATACTACAGTATCCCGAAATAGCTATCCCACACCTTCACAGCAAGCCCGTTATTTTGGGCTCGCTATACAGGGCTGACATCTCTGTAAACCTCATTCTATGAGGATTTCAATTTTAATTTGAAATTTGGTGCTGTGTAGACACTGCCAAATGACAAAATACGCTATTTCGAAATAAGATACACAATTTGCATAGCTCAAATTGCATCTCTTATTTCGAGTTACGGTGCAGTGTAGACGCACCCCAAGAGTGTTACTGCTCATGTCAACGAGTAAAATTAAGCTAAAGCGTAATGCTTTGCTCAGTCTGGGCCTTGCAGAAGTACAACACTGTGCAACGTTTAAAGGAAACCATCAAAAGAAACAAGACCAACTTAATACAGTCAACATGAAGAAAGGTAGATATTACCTGAAGGGGGAATTGGAACTTCCTCCACACCTCCACTAGAATATGTTGTTAAAGGCTTAATTAACTCCTGTGGTAAAGCTGTCAGGGAACTGAAATCATCCACAAAATAAACCATTGCTGGACTAAATGCCATCTGCTGAAGTTCTGCCTTATCAGCATTCCTAACGCCAACACAAAACGTCAGCACTCCGGCCCGAGCTAATTCATTGGACGCCTGTGTGAATGCATCAGCAGATGGTCCTGCTAGAAGCAGGACCAAGATCTGTGGAACTTGTTCATCTATTCTGCTCCCACCAGTTTCAACGAAGTGATTCGTAAGGACAAAGTTTAGTGCAGCGCCCGTATTCAGAACAGACCCCCCTCTAAGGAACAGCTGCCTCAAGCGAGCAATGATCTCAGCCTTGCTTGGGAAGGAATTCAAAGAGAATTCAGTTGTAGGAGTGTCACTAAACTGCACTAGGCCAACGCGTACATTGTCATATCCAACATCAAGGCCGTTAACTAGGTTCATAACAAAGTCCCGCACAATTGGGAAGTTGGTATTTCCAACGTTGAGTGATCCATCCAAAAGAAAGATGATATCCCTTTTGCCTTGCACTGCAGTGGAGCACAGAAAATAACGTGAGACATCATAGAAAACACACCAGTATTTGTCATGTGTGCATACAGTATGCACCGCACACACATGTATACCTTGTTAGAGACAAGAGGGAAGAGGAGGAGAGAGAAAAAGAAATGAAAAGAGAGTTTCCAAGAGAGTAACAGCAAGAGCATTGAGTGAACCTATGGGCTGTTTTGGCTTGGACTGCAGAGAATATTTGAATGGCTAATATTTAGAAATTTAGAGCCCAGTCAAAAATATACAAGAAAATGCATATGATGACTAATGTCAACCAAAATGGTTGCCTACTCTGTAGTTACTCTGGGTCACTACCTCAGTTGGTGTAAACCGATTTAATTGGCTTCAACAGCAAAACACTCATTTCCACCAGCTAAGAATCTGGCTCCCTGCAGTTAGCCTCCATTTACACCTTGCTGGGAGTGAGAGAGTATTTCATTAAAACTTTGAGCCTTCTATAAAACCTGACAGAAAATGTTAGCTCGGTGGCAGGTAAAATGTGCTGTGATCCGAATCGGGGCCAAATACAATGAAACCAGCACCAGAGACAGTCCTTACTGGACACACTCCCCATCCAAGTGACTGCCCCGGAGCTGGATCCTGCCCTCCTTGCTTAGGTCTTGCTTTCTGGCCCCTCGTATTGATGTTGTGCAGCACCTGGCCTAGCCATGGTCCCCTTCGTCACAGCGGAAGGTGGCTTCAGAGCCACAAAGCCAGCTGAGTCCCACTAGATGATTCTCCCTACACCAGAATTGGGGCCTTTTGGGTCTGGAGGTGAGCAGTGACGCACAGGATCTGGGCCAAATTGTCCCAGCTTCAAAGGCCTAGAAGACACGGCTAAGTCTCACTGGCAAGCTTAGGGTAAAATAGTAAAATACTGGTCCTATTGAAGTCAATAGCAAAGCTCCCATAGACTTCCCTAGGACTGGATTTCACCCTTGGAATCTCCCTTTTCCAGTTCCCACGTCTACTCCTTAAAGATTGTGTGTTATCGGACCTGAAAATCCGAACGTTCCTGTGTGCTGAAAAGCTGCTCTTGCTTTCACACTGAATCTGGGCTTCTAGCTGGGATCAGTTCAGGGGGTTTCCACTGTCAGGGAGTCAACTTTTCTCTTCTGGGTTGATTTTAACCAATCGGTCTGGTGTTTGAAGCTGCTGCCGGGTTTGAAATGTTAGGAGAAGTCTCTGGAAGATGGATTAGATGGGCTGGAGCCATGGGCCTATGTCTGAAATATGGCTGGAGCCAGGTCCTATGTCGGCATAGGTACGTAACACATGTATCGCTTGCCTATACAATGTATGGCGTGCCTCTCCACTTGATCATATGGACACCAACGCCACATACATATGTAGGCACGTATTTATGTACGCTACTCTAGTCTGAAGGTCCCTTAGTCAAGGGTGATGTTTCACATCTTTAAACTTGAACATTGGAGAGATCTATCCATTATCTCTATCTATCCATTTCTCTATAGGGCCCTAGTAATGGGGAATTAAAAATCAAATGAGGAAAATTGGTCCCTTTGGAATGAAATGATATCTGCCAAACCATCTATATTGAGTTGCTCTTTTCTGTTCTAATCTGTAGTCGCCCTTTTAAGGCCTCTATGTGAGCAAACGTCCTTAGATAATCTATTGGAGTGTCATTTACAGCAATAATATCTGTAATGGGTTGTGAGAAGGGAACATTTACTTGCCTACAAAATTTCTTTATGGCTGTGGGTATGATAGAGTCAGAGTGACCAAGATAGAAGCGACATTTAGAAGTTGTAAAGAACAAAAAGTTTAAGGACATTTTTACTCAGTATTCAGAAATAAAAATGTCAGGTTTGACATGTAGCCATGCGAAACCGTATTAGCAGGAAACACATTTTGTAAAAGCTTGTTAAATGATAGATTCTTTTCCCGTGATATTCATCTTAATTAAGGACCAATGCAAACAAATTGGATTTTTAAAATTTCATCTCTCCGTGTGGAGCAGTCATTGTGTTTTAAACGGATTCCTAAAACCATACAATTTCTCTGAACTCTTGCATTATCATCTTAGTATCTCTGAGAAACTAGATAGCGCAACAGTCCTGATCCAATGCCACATAAGTCAATGGAAATCTCTCTAGTGACTTTCATGGGAACTGCAGGAGGTCTTACTTGTCAAATGTTTTCATGACATGGGACTGAAATGTGGGTTTAGAACATGGCCCTTTGCATTTTATTACAAGAATCAAACCTCAAACTTCTCCACTGGCAAAAAATCCTGAGGAGAACTGTAATACAAAATCTTTAGGCAGATAAACCATATGTTGAAATACATGGGAATTGGTTCAGATGACATTTCTCAGGTTACTGGACAAGAGTCTAATTCAAAGCCTACAGATGTCAGTGGAAAGAAACAACTGATTTCAATTGACTTTGGATCACACTCTAAATGGACACAATCAATTCTATACTAGCTTTTTGCTCTGCTTAGATTCAGAGATGGGTGAATAATGAGATTATTTTCTGCAAATTTGAATTTCAAATGTGACTTTGAAAGTGAATTAGAAGCCAGCAATGTTCTCCTGAGCTTTTTCAAGTTCACTTTCTCTGAACGTATACACGGTCAAGCTTTATTATCACCTATTGGCTGCAAATTTCAAATTGTATATTTGATTGTGTGATTCAAAATTTGCTTTGTGGTGGTTAGTTACACAAATCATCTAATCAGAGATCAGAAACAATATTGCGTGACTTCAGTGACTAACACAAATAGCACACATTTTGAAGTTTAGACTCTACATCAACAAATACAGCGAGGGGGGGTGGGCCGGGTTTACAAAGACATTCATGAAAAAAACCAAGTAGCGAAATGCATTAAAGAACTGAACAATCAGTTCATGAACATTTTGCAAATGGAAAAGAGGCAAAATTTAACTGACCTAAATAACCATTATGGACGATTCACTCATCTCTACTGGGTACACAATAAGAACTGCGAACTATTTCAGTGCATCTCCTTAGATAAACATGAATGGTTACCTGATGGTATTTCTTGAATAACTACTCCAGAGAATGTTTTGATAGGAGTCAGCACTTCAGGGAGAATGCCTTGCAGAAGCGGGGCTCGGAATTCAGTTGTAGTGAAAGCGAAGTTTGGTTCATGGGCAATGGCTTTTGTTGTAGTCCCCCCTGATCGGCATCCCTGCCACCGACGGTGAGAGCCACAATACCATTCCTTTTCATCTCTGATGCTACCTGGGTAACATCATCTGTGGACCTACCACCAGTAATGAGCACCAGCATGGGCAGAACGCCTTCATCGCTCCTGTACCCAGCAGAACTGGTGAAGAAGTTTCTCCTAACAAAGTCCAACGCCGAGCCAGTATTGAGGGCCGTACCCCCCATTAACTTCATCTTCCTCACAGCAGCGATGATATCTTTTTTATTTTGACTGGCACGGAAATTGAACTCTGACTTTACCGTATCTGCATATTGTGCCACAGCTATTTGGATAAGATCTGGTCCAATTTCCAGCCTTTGGATGATTTTGGCAATGAAATCACGGATCTGATTAAACTGGGTAGATCCCAGTGCAGTTGTACCATCTACCAGGAAGACTACGTCCTTCTTGTTCACATCAACAACTGCAAGTAACAATATAAACAGATATTGTCAGTGGAAGTGCTCAATCATCCATGCTTATCAATGCAACATCAACAGCTGAATAGGACGTCTAGCTTGTTTTACTGTTGTTTCTCATGCCTCTTATGGGTACTTTGGTTTTATGTCCTGACCTTCACTTCCTTCCTTTTGAAAGTGCTTTCTTTTGGAACATTTTCTCAGGTGGGGTTGCATTGAATTCTGCTAGTGTATGATTTATTATGGCAATGTCTCTTTCTAAATCGTGGAAAAATTTAGAAAATGTCAAAGGCTGATCATAGTAAAATTAAAAAATCCATAGGGTATTCTAGCAGAGGACACAAATGAAACATCTTCATATTTTTCAATAGGATACAACACCAGTTGACATTAGCTTAAGTGAAAACATGCTAATTGACATCATGTGGAGCTCTACTCCTATGGGTCTCAAAATAGTTATGCTAAGAAAAGTTATTAAGTAAAGAAGAGTTCCTACTTATTCCACCTACCTGTGTGTATCTTCGTGTCCTATCTGATCCTTAGCTAAGAAAGGCAAATTATTACTGTTCTTCACTCAACACAACGAGTGTGGAAGCGTGAGCGGGAGTTTATTCTGGCTTACACACAGCATCAACAACATCAGTGACTAAACTTTAATTGCCAAATCTTTCTAGGTGTGTTGATGTAAGAAGTAGAATGAACACACCTGGATTTTCAAATCCCTATTTGAGTCTGAAGGTTTGGTGATTAGGAAAAAAAAAGTCAGTTGTGCTTTATTGGAATCAAAATGCCATTATATTCAACACAGAAAATGTAGGCACTGTGATAAGTAAATATGGACATGGTTAACAGGCATAATGATAAAATATGATGGTATGTAGACACTATCAGAAATAAGTATTAAATGCATCTTTTGTGCATGTTAATCTTGTACGACCTTCATTTAACTTTCGACCACATTACCCTAGAAGCTGTAATAAGAGAAACAACACATTTCTTTATTTCCCACATTCAGAATTAACTGACACTTCTTTTTACAAATGCTTGACTTCTCTGGATGACCGTGGAAAGCAATTACACAGGGACACTGGGGAAAGGGGATTTTTTCCCGGGTTTATTTGTTTGTTTTTTAATCACAGTGGCCAAGATACTCACAAGTGACTAGTGAGTTTGTGGGCCTGAATTTCAGGTGCCCAACTTCAGCTGCCTTTGGAGAGCTGGATTTTCCCCCCCAAAAAGGGCTGGAAGCCAGACCCTGCTACAGGAACTCAAGCTGAGCCCCCAAAAACAGGTCTTCAAAATCACAAGTCACTTTTGAACATTTTTCCCAGCTTGTCTTGTATATTTTAAGCTAACTTATGAAGAAGGGCATAGAAAAGAACACTATAAAAATGCTATCTGTGAGGCGCCTGGCTGGTGAAAAGCAGCGTGCGACCGCAAAATATTCTTAAGAGTCTGATGTTTGACTGGAGCAAAATCCTTAATCAGGGCCATTGCTGTGGTGAGACTCCATGCCAGAGCAGGCAGCCTAGAAAGCAGCGGAGTTGAGGCATTGGCGGGCAGGCTGTGAAAAGGCTGTTGCTGGGATTCCGTACTCCATGTGTACAATACAGCAAAAGTTGCAGGGGATCTGAATGTGGTAGCATGAACCAGTGGTTTCAGACTATGTTGTACTTGTAGTCCAAGGCTAAATGGTGGGAAAACAGACATAATAGCTTCTACTAGAATTCATGGGCAGTAGTAGCAACTCCTCAATGCCATTAGTGTATGGGAGGAAGTAGCAACCCTATAGCCCACCAGTGATCTCTTGCCTGTCTATCCTGGCTTGGAATAAAAGACTAGGCTACATCTACACTGGCAGCTTCTCGCGTAAGAACAGCTGTTCTTGTGCAAAAACTTGCCGGGTGTCTACACTGCACACGTGTTCTTGCGCAAGTAAATTTACAGTACAGCGTCAGAAAATAGGGCTTCTTCCGGAAGAGTTATTCCTCTCCCCACGAGGAATAAGCCCTCTTGCGCAATGCCGTTACACCTATTACTTTTCAGGCAGAACGGCATTGCGCAAGAGAGTTTTTCTTGCACAAGAAGGAGCAGTGCAGACGCTCCTTCTTGCGCAAGAGCCTCTTCTGAAAAAAATGGTGGCTCATTAGGTATGCAAATGAGGCTCAGTGATAGTCCACGCTTAGCCTCATTTGCATATTACTTGCTCAAGAAGCCGCTAGTGTAGACATAGCGCATGACTCCCACTATGATAAAGGTTAAAGCCGAAGTTCTGCCTGGAAACCTCCCACCGATTCCCGGATGGAAGCAAGCAGGCGAATAGCTTTGGGTACGTCTACACTACAACGTTAATTCGAACTAACTTAGTTCGAATTAGTTAATTCGAACTAAGCTAATTCGAACTAATGGATCCACACTAAAAAACTAGTTCGAATTAGCGTTTTGCTAATTCGAACTAGAATGTCCACATTAAGTGGACCCTGAACCGGGGTTAAGGATGGCCGGAAGCAGTGCCGGCAGGGCATCAGAGGAGGACTTAGAGCGTGGAGCTGCTGTCTCAGGCTAGCCGAGGGCTG